ATTATTCTTTGTTTAGCCACCAGGAGGAAAGCTTAGACGACCTGTGAGATCAAGTCTTCCAAGTAGCACAAATGGAGAAGTTCACACACCAACAATTGCTGCCCCACCCAGCACAGGAAGACCAAAATCTAAGATTAAAACTGCTGTTATTAATAACAATGAAGGTAGCCTGGCCTTCTGTCCATCACCTCCTAAAATAGGCTCACCATCAGGAACCCCACCCASTTCAGCTGGAAAAATAAGACGTAACTCTGCMGGACCCACACCCACCCCTCCCTCAGGAATAAAGAGTGATTTGATTGTTACAAGGCGTGTTCGCAGTGGTCCAAAGGAAAGGATTTCACCAAGGTCACCTGACAGTGATGCTCTTTCTAGAAGAATACATGATAATAATAGTAATGATTCCAGTGTAGAGGATGTGTCATCAAGGAAAGATGTTCAAGGTAGAAGTAGTAGTGGTGATAAGCGTAAAAGAAAACCTGCAGAAACTGAGAAACAAAAAGATGAACTCACTCTCTACCATGAAGAACATGTCAAGCCTTTGTTGTCACGAATGGAGGAGAAGTTTGCYTCTAATAGAATTGCTGAATTAGCAAGTGATTGTTTGCTTCTGTGCAAAGTTCTTGAGGAGAAAGGTATGATTGGCAAGGCTAGTGGAAGTACATCGGCTAGAAGACGGGGTGAAATTCTAAAAACACTGTTCAAGTTCTTAGATGTGAATGATTCAAGACTTGTGCTGAGATTGGGTAAACTTATCCTCTCTGTAAGTATACTGAGTCTTGTCTGTAGTACATTAGAAGTAATTTCTTAGTATCTTGTGTTCAGTATTTACTCATAGTGTGTTTTATATGCAGATGAAAGTAACAGGGAATAACATTACCAATATTTGTATGGTTATTTATAAACTGGCAAAAACAGAGAAGAATGATAAGATGTTTTCACAAGAAAACATGCTCAGTAAGTACAGTGTGTTAATGTTAGTTTGTGAATGATCTACAAATACACAAGATTTCAAATGAGAGTAGCACTGTTCATAATCTCTCAGCACCAGATCTTCTTGGTTGAGATGGTMAACAAAGGAAGACCAAGAAACCTGTTGAGTATCCTCTGGGAAGGAGACCATGCTGTACTGTAGTTCTGATCTTTTCTCAGTTCCATTTTTCATGATTGAATTTTTTAGCAGAATATTTAAGTTTTGACTAATTCCTCAACAAAACAGACATCTCTTTTCCTTGCTATTATATTGCARAATGGAAGTCATTATATGTTAATTGTATTTTGCCATCTACCTACGAACAATGAAACTTGAACAATTTTAACTTTTATAATAACATTATTGATTGTTTAAGGAAATCTACCATATTCGCATCTACCTATAAATAGAAGCAATGTTTTAAGTAAATTCACTTTTTGAAAATGACACATGTTGGTGTTGAAAYGTCAAAGCTAGTTGCCTTGATTTTTATCTTGAAATGTGTTTCAACAAAAACTTTAGTTTGTTTATTGATTGTTGTTTTGTAGAACAACTTGTTGATGGTTTAACAAGCTATGATATCCTGACCTACCGAGATGCATTGATATATATAACAGGTGCATTGAAACACCTTACAAACAACAATCCTCTWGTACAGCAAGAACTCTTTACTCTAGATACAGTATCCTCATTGGCCACAATATTACATACTATTTGCAATGATGTAAGTAKGTTAAACTTACACCTAATTGTTATTTTGCAATGATGTAATAATTAGTTAAGATTTAAATAGATGTAATTACCAAAACCTAACATATATTTTACCCTGTCCCCAGTSTGACCYTGTAGCTCAGCTRRTAGAGCATCGGTAGTACAAATCTGAGRGTCATGGGTTCGAATCCCAAATTTATTTTGWTCCAAKGGTCTTTCTCCTGGAATAACYYCYTYYWAGAAAGCTATGACTTTCTATAAGATATGTAATGTTTGGCTTATAACCATGCTCAAAACAACTAAAGGTTTAGGAAAACAAAAGGACGATGTATTGTTTCYCCAGAGCTTTGTCATTATTCTATTCATTTCAACAGAAATGTAAAAATTGGGTCATTATTTTGAAATTATATTACGACAAGTATTTGCACATGTAAATCATGTTAAGCTGTGTAAACTATCTACTTATTGTTCTTTACAGATTCAACAGTATGCTAGGCCAGAGAGACAAATTTCAAATCTCTTAATTCAAGTAAGTTGAACTAATGGAAAAAATGTGTTACATAGTTGATTTACAAGATTAATCAACAGGCTAACACATACTAGACCGATTGCTTATGAAAATTAATGAGCTTTTAAAAAGGATGGAGAAGGGTAAAGAGCATTGCTTTTATTTTTGATGCATTCTTGGCATTTACATGTAGATGATAATTGGATTATAACCAAAGACGTCCCTGATAATGGCTGCTTGGTTCAGCCTTTGTTCAGCCTTGAAGAATAATATCTTTGCTGTATATTATTACTCTGTTCTTAATGTATGCATGGTATTGATAGGTTACAGGGGTATTAAGGTACCCAGCAGATCTTAATGTATACATGGTATTGATAGGTTACAGGGGTTTTAAGGTACCTAGCAGATCTTAATGTATGCATGGTATTGATAGATTACAGGGGTATTAAGGTACCTAGCAGATCTTA